CACAGGCTTAGGAAAAACCACTCCGGCAGTATACACACCCTGAAAGATTCCTTCTAGGTTCACTCTTCTAGTTATTTATCGAATTAACACTGGGGCTACCCGTTTTGATCTCGGTTTCTTATGGACACAAAGAAAGTTGATTTCTACCATCCTCTTCACACTGTCATAAATTCGGATGTTTGCTGGAATGGCACTTATGAAACCTACTAGCTTTTTATTTGAAGACACTCGGACCCTACAGTGCCATTGCAGAAGCCAGCCTGGGGGACGCAGAGCCCACAAGAGAAACTCAGGCGAATAGTCGCAGAGGAACATATTGTCATCATCTTCCACATAATTCTCATTCAGCAATGTGTACAATTCCTTCAGCACTTCAGCATTACTCAAGTCTAAAGTGTCCCACATAAAACCTTGTGGCAAAGAATACGGTTCCTGGCAGGTACTTGTCTGGTTCAATTGCACCATGAGATGTTATGACTTCATTCAATTTGGGCACTGGCTGTGTTTCCCAGAACTGGTATCTGTGCTTTGTGGCCTCATCAATGTTCCTGGCTGGGCCTTGGCATGAAGAGAGCAGCTCCATTGCTCTCTGGATGTCCTGTAGCTTCTGAATAGGTATGGTGGGATTTCATGGCTGCTCCTGCTGAAATCTGCTGCCAGATGGCGTTGTGTTTTGAAGACTGCTGAATTTTAATCTCTTGGGAGTCAGATGCAGAGTCGGACTTGGTACCCCCAGAATTCGGCTTCTCCTTTTTTTCTCTTCTGTTTCTTCTTTTTATTTTTTGCTCCCAAATCCCCTCCAGGGCTTCCTTTGGCGTGTTCGGTCTCCTCCTCATTGTCTCCGTCTATCCCACACGTGTCCTGGTCGTCCAGCTCTAGGCTCTGCTGGCTGGCCACAAACTCGCTGTCCTCTGCCATCGCGGTGGCTGTGAGCGGCTGGGGAGGCGGTGCTCCGAGCCCTGAGGTTTTTCTATATAGGGGTTTGTAAATGTTTATACATCGTGTGTGTGTGTGTGTGTGTGTGTGTGTGTGTGTGTGTGTGTGTGTGTGCATGTACACAGCCAACAGGAGTTGGTTATGTTCTAGAGACTGCAATGAATGTTAACTAAAAATCTAGTTTTTAAGGTTATTTTGATTGTCTATGTATGTGTGCATCTGAATTGGGTCCTCTGGAGTGAGAGTTATAATAAATCATGAGCTGCCTGACATGGATAACTAGAATGCCCAAACAAGCATAGTTTGTGAGGCAAAGTGTGGAAG